TTTTTCCTGAGGTCCAGCTGGCACTGAGCTGGCGTCCCTGACCCCACCAGGCACCCTGTGCTCGGGCAGCACTGCTGCTCTCCACCCATGTGTCCCTGTGTCGTCCCAGCAGATGGTGGCATTGAGATCCCCCCTCATCCCAGTGGGGTCCCCCCTTGACCACCACGCCATGCCACTTGGTGCCATCCCCAATCCAGCGAGCAGCACATGGAGCTACCAAGGCATTTTATTTCTGGCACAATACAGGGGGTACAGGAGCATGGGCTGGTGCTGGGGGCAATGCTCAGGAGAACGAGCAGGCAGGGAAGGAGGAGTGCTGGGGGCCTGTGCCCCCCCGGAGCCGCAGGAGCATGAAGATGGTGCTCTTGGGCTGGACATCATAGTGTGCCAGTGTGTGCCGGTCCTCCAGCTCCCTGGAGCCATATGTCAGGCGCTGCTGGTCGGCCAAAGGGCCCCCTCGTTTGTGGATCTGCTCCTTCAGCTCCCGGACGGTGTCAGTGGGCTGCACCGTGTAGGTGGTGGTCCGGTTCTTGTCATCCTTCACAAAGACCTCCATCGGCTGTGGTTCGGTCTGCAGCAGTACAAACATGGTGCTGTAGAAGATGCCGTGGGTGGCCAGGGTGTCACCGTCCTGTAGGATGAGGCTGTTCCTGCTGGGCTCCTGCTGTGCCAGGCGCTGCTTGTACCGAGGGATGCCCCACACCTGCTCGATCTCCTCCTTCAGCTGCTGGACGGTGGTGCTCGGGCTGACGGTCCTGCTCAGGCTGGTGCCCACCAGCTGCCTGATCTCAACTGTCACGGGCCGGGACGGCTGTGGGGACAGAAGAGCGGGTGGGCAAAGCTGGCAGGGGCAGGGGAGGGGGTCGTGATGCCCGCAGGCGTAGGCAGCCTTACCTGCACATCCCAGGGCTGGACGGAACTGACACAGGGCAGTGAAAGGTTGTGGACAGCTTCCTGTGCCACCAGGTCCCAATTCTTGCCTTGGCCCAGGATCCCTGTGGGGTCGGCGGGGTCCAGGATGACAGGGCTGTAAACACAGAGGGCAGGCCCCGCCGTGAGCCCCGGGCAGTAGCGGGGCGGCGGG